AATAAAGAGAGACATGGTTCAAAAGGAATTGCACTCATTACCTGATTCATGTAACTATAACACTTCTATATATGAACTCTACACTAACAGTTACAACTTTTCAAAATATATAAATTTGTCATTAGCAGAATTCTTAGGATTAGAAAGCTAAAGGAATGTGTGAGACATACTAATCTTTGCACTTAGAATTTTACATAATCATATCCATAGGGAGGATCTTATATTTTGCAGGTCATGATGAGATTTAAAAAGTTGATTTTTTAAAATATTTTCTTTTTTTCTAATTCTTGTGGACATTCTTAACATATTCAATGAAGACATATTCTTAATACAAGTCCAGATATTATGTGAAAAATCAATATTGGTACTGGTCCTTTAAGTTATAGGTATGGAATTAACAGCTACAAATGCCAATGTACCATTTTAAGAGTATCACTATGTCAATGTCATACTCCAGAATAACAGCTTGCTAAACACAGTAATTATTTCCTAAACATTTGTCCCCTGGCCCTTTACAGATTAGACAAAAATAATAATAAGATTTCCATGCCTTTATTTTTAAAAAATCATTCAATTTTAACAGTTCATTGGCAGATAATATGAGTAGAAATGAACAGATGCAAAAATAATTATTCTACCCACTTATTTTATCTCCTGTTCCTTATACTTCAAATTGAGGTGAAGCTGTGGGTTAGAAGTTATAAGAGAAAAAAAGTCCTTATTAACACATGACTTATCCAAGTTACTATGTGTCACTGAAAATTGTCATGAAAAATATTTGTCAGCTCAAGAAATATGCTGAAGATACTGAAAACCTTAATGATTCATTATTGAATGTTCTCTGTGAGTCTAAAGCTACTCCAGCAGGGCTATGTGGAACAAAATTTAAACATTTACACCTTGGTGTTCTTTTTCTATAAAGAATATCAACCTAGGTTGAAGGTGTTAATTGAATAAACCAGGCAGGAGTTGAAAGAGAGAAAAATGAAGACGGGCTAGATGGGAAGGGAGAGTAGGGGAAAAACAAGGGAGGAGGTAACAATGCTCAATAGGAAATGTACTCATTACCTTACTCATGTAACTGTAACCCATCTGTACAGTAGCTTTACAATAAAAATATATACTAAAAAAAGACTGACAAAGTAGAAAGCATACTAGATAGATTAAGTAATGTTGTGAGCTGTAATTTGGAATTCTCAAAAGAAAATATATTGTATCTAGTTTCCTAACTTAGGAATCACCAGCCCCAGAGAATTCACTCAGAACTTTTAACTTCAATAAAAAGATGAAAGCTTGTTTCTTCTTGATTTGTATTGAAGTTGACACGCATAGTTGTTAGAGATGATTTAAAACATGAAAAGACTTTTGAATCATCTCTGTTCATTTTAGAGGTAATGTTCTAAATTTGAGATTCCACTAAAGAAAAAAGAAGCCAACCTAACATGTAGCTTGAAGTTTCCATTTACTTTCAGCCTATCCAAAGGAAGCCAAAATAGCAAAGATAAAAACATTATTATTACCTGGTAATAATAATAATATAAGATATTGTAATAATATATAATATAATGATATTATTATTACTGTGTAATAATAATATCTATAATAATGCCAAGATCAGATATGTATTTGGCATTCGCATGCTGTCCTTAAAACTTGACATTATAGATCCCAGGGTGAAAATCTTTTTTTTTCTTGAATGCTACTACCTTATAGCAAGACTTGTAATCATTTCAGGAAAATCTTTATTGTTTTACAAGCTTTAAAATGGGAAGGTTTTATGAGGGCATTCCACTCCGCATTCCATCCAAAATGATCTGAGAACAAGTTTGGCACATTTGTTGCATTTCCTTTTATTTGTTCTCTCTTATGAATTTGGATTATAGGACTATGACTGCTGAAGTACATCAGAAAAATTATGTCAAAGACTGGTTGAGCTGTGAAGAATGGCCAGAATGACAAAAACAAATGTCAAGAAAGCCAAATAATCTTGACCACTACATTGCATTATGACTCTTCCCCATCCCTCGTTCTCCAGTTCTGCCACTACCATAACCACAAATAGCTTTCCCTGGCAACAACTGCTGAATGTGACCCAGTGCAAATGTCTTTATTCTTTTAAACTTGAGGTGGGGAAACACACACACACACACACACACACACAGACACACACACACATAGACACACACACACACACCACCTGCTCCTTTCCCTTCTACAGATTTCTGAATTTCAGTTATATTTTCTAATGCAATTCATTTTTTCCATCCCCATTTCATTCTTTTTAGCAGTAGTTACATTGTTGAGACAAGAAACGTCCAGTATTTACTGCACTGATAAGAAGAGAATTTCCCTAGAATGTTATTCCACTAGCTGTGAGGGGAAAGTCTCTAGGGATTTAAAATCCTAAAATGAAGCAATACGCAAACATGTAGCTATCTAGATATTTCTTAAGTCCTAAGATGAGTTATTACTATCTGTAGAAAAATAAAATTCCATGAGAAGACTTTATTTTAAATGGTCAGATAATGGAAGGGAAGGGAAAAGGGCAAAGGGGAATAGAAAAGACTAAAAGAATCGATGAACATAAAGTACATTATATACATGTTTGGAAATTTTCCAACAAAACATCTTGTATTGTACAGTTAACATATGCCCAATAAAATGAATGCTAATAAATTGAAAAATTGTCAAATAATAATAATAATTTTAACAAACGGTGAAATTGAATCTAAACAACCATGCTCAAAACTAAATTTCACAAGTTAAGTCTTTTGTATTCTGATATATAATTGCTTTCTAAAACCCTCTCATTTTTGAAATTTTCCTTAGGTTGTTACTGCATTTTGCTCATAGCCTAATGCATTACCTAAATATAGATAGCCATTTTTAGTATAAATTCCAAAAGCCATAAATGTTTCATAATTGAGCACATAATTTGAAGTAAGAGTGCTTTTCCACTCATCCCTTTTTACTGTTGCAAATTGGAAAATACTCAAGTAATTGCTCCCTTAATAGTTCAATGCTTGAAACTATATATACTTTATGAACATCACAAGCATCATTTGATCCCCCAGAGCAATTGGGGGAGGGGGTACGCAAAAGAACTTAACTCATACAATTAACCAAATCACCCAGAGCTTGGATTCAAAATTCCTTCATTAAGCCATTAATATAATACATTGCTAAGTAGTGGGTTGTCCAATTTTTATGATGCCTTTCATTTCAATTCAATGGCTGCAGTAAGAATAAAAAAACAGCATCTGCAAGATCAGCAAGATGATGCAAAACCCTCATACCAGAAACATTTTCTTTCCACAGTTAGTCTGAGAGCAGTCAATGCCAGGGCACTAATAATGGAAGTGATTTTAAGTCTCAGAAAGTAGCTCTCATTTCTGCTTACCCAATAACGTAAAGGGCAAATAAAAACACTTGAATTCTATGACCTCAAACACTTAAACAGAAAGCTACTTGTCATTTTATGGTTTTCTAAACCATTGTAGATGGACCGATTGCAATTCCATCCCACTGTAGAACTACAACACTTACTACAAACTAGAGTTTACATTAGTGCAATACAGAATGTCATGATTATATTTGGGCATTGTTCAATGGTGGTTGTTTATATAATTAATCTATGTGAGAACGTTACATGTAAAGAACAAATCATAAAGCTCACCACTTTCTTCCTAAACTTAGATGCAGTAAAGAAAATCCAATGCTGAAAATGTATATGCTTTGGCCATTACAGATGGTGTGAATTATCTGAATTTGAGTTCTATGTGATTTCTGTTAATCCCTATGTTTATAAATGATCAAAGTCTAATTGTGTATCATTGAATATATTCTGGAGACCTAACTGCTTTAAAAAATACTGCTGATAAATGGAGTAAAATGTTCAGTTTATGTTCAAATTCTCACTGAAAGACACTTAACAAAGAGTCAAAAAAGTTAGTAAGAGATATTGCTAAAAATATATGCTTTTGGTAATTATAGTCTATGCAATATTGTCAAAGGCCAGAGTTACAAATCAAAAAGTGATATAAATCATAAAATATCAAGCTTCTTCAATTACAGCTGCTTTATCAAAGTTATAACCTTATATGTGAATGACAGATGGCAATAACTAAAGATGACATACCATTTTTTCTTTCTTCTTCAAAGAGTTTCAGAGAAACCCATCATGTTGACTGCAGAAGCAAAGTAATCACACAAAAATTGATCTAGTTCACATAGATGGCAAGATAGAACAAATCCCAGATCAAAAGCACAATCATATAAGCTACTGATCATAACAAACCTATCACAAATAAAAACAAAGATACAAATGTTACCTAAAATTAGAAGAGTGAATGTATTACTTTAATTTTAACCATGACTGTTTGAAAACTTCAAATTTAGAATAAATACTGAAGTTAGACTATCAAGAGCTTTTTCAGTGATTTTGACTCCTATGTGAATACATATAAGAGCATGTGTTTTTGCACTCTCTACATAGTCATTTACACCTCCTACTGAAGCCATATTACTTATAACCAATATTTCAGTGCACATCAAAAGTGATGTGTTTTTTGAAAGATAAGAGATGCAAAATCCAATGATTATAAAATATAACCAAATTTGTACTTAATATTGCTTGTATCAAGCAGTTTTCAAGTTGCTCTCCAGTTCCACTGAGAAAACTGATAAGCTTAGACACTCTTCTAGACATCCACTAAAGTTTATTTCTGAAATATACCAGTGATGAATTGTCAGTAAAAAAGAAAATCCGAAGTCATCAGAATTAAAGAATGGTTCCATAGAAACTGTTCACTCGCTAAATGCACACGAAAACAGAGCCAAACATTTTATTACGCTCTAACCTCCAATTCAAACTCAAACCAAGCGGCTAGCTCCACCATCAGTGTGGTGTATACCAAATACCCATTTTCACATGTGAGGTAGGTGCATGAGGATGTATGTGCGTGCAAGAGGCAGAGGGTAGAGACAAACCCAGGTCCTACCTTGATTGTTTTTGTGGGCTGACACTTGATGTGATGGGACACGCTGGCAGTTTGGTTCATGTTTCAGGACCCTGGACAGTGCCCGATTCCAGGCGGCGTTCCAGGATAAGCTAGAGATCAGGTCTCCTCTGTTGGACTTCAGCAGGGGCTGCTGCTGTTGCTGCTGCTACTGCTGTTGCTTCTGCTGCTTCTGTTTCTCTGCTTCCTCACTCCGGAGGCTGAAACGCTGTCAGGCTGGAGGGATCTGTATCTCACTTAGCCCTAAATAAAGCACTTCCTTGGTTCATCATTCTCAAAGCTCTTGGCAATACAGAATAGAAAGCCAAAGACTGTTTAAATTCACTTACACTGTATTTTTTTTTCAGTACTGAGATGTGACAGCTCCAGAGTACAGCCAATGATCTTGGCTCTCATTCTCCTTTCAAAGGGACGAATACCAGAAAACATACAGAGATCAATTGCAGTCCTAGAGTTTAAAGGGGCACTCTCAACAACCCTGCTCCCAACCAAATTATAGTGACACTTTTTTGTAGTGCAAAACAATTCTTTCTCTCCCTTTTAATGTAATTTGTTCTCATTCTGATACTAAATCCTATTTCTTGCTATGCTACTCTTAGAGTATAGTAAATGCTAGCAAGTAACCTGTTGATTATTTAAATGTTTTATGGTTCTATACGAGTATGGTAAATGACTAACAGTCCCTAAGGCTATTTAAGGAAAGTCTGCATTGATAGCCAGGTAAGAAACTGGTCTTTCCATAAATTGTCTCAAAGCTAAACATATGTTAAAAAAAATCTTCAAACACAAAAGTTATTGCAGATTTAGAAAGTAAGGGGATGATTTCTTTCTTTTATGTGCTTTTAACTTGTTTCCTTAAGGCCTAGCCATTGGCAGTCTAGTACTCTACAACTTTCACCATGCCCTCATCCCTTCAATGTTTAGGTTACTCTTCAGAGGCAGTCACATATTTTGGTTTATGCCACTCTTAGACTATGAATAATTCTTCTACTTCTTCCTCCCAAGTAGCTTGAATTAGCTAAGCACCACACACTCAGCCAAAGGCTAGGTTTCTTGATTGCCTGGACAAAACTAGTAGTTATTTCATGATAGTCTAACTTCTAATAGTTATCACTCTGTATCTACTTGCATTGTGGGAATATAAATCATAAATATTTGTGAATGAAGTACACTCAACATTTCCTATACTAATACAGCAGCACTGAATAGAATAACTAGATCTTATTTAGAAATAAAAAATCCAGCATGCATGAATTAATGAAGAGTGAGTTTTGTTAGTCTTTATTAAGACTTAAAATAGTCTTTTAACTCCACTGGTTTTACTCATCAGAAACATATCCTGCTGGTGAAAGGTCAAGTTTATGTATTGAACTTTGAATTAAGCTTTGAAAAAAATTCATGATAAGCCCAAGAATATAACTGATAAAATTTAATATAAAAGTAATAAATTAATGAGTTTGATGAAAAATAATTACTCTAAAAATTATTTGTATATATACATATATATTTCTTTTTCAGAAACAGAATATCTATAAACTAAAAAAGTAGTCTGAAGGTTAGTGCATCCACAAAGATAAATGGCAGGAATATTGTAAAAAGTAAGGAAAACATTGGTATGGAAATAGAATCATAAGAATGAGGAAATATGAACACATGCTCATGATCTGTTGTGGCAGATAAAATTTCATATACAACACCACCAGAGGCGTCATAAGGACCAGCCACTCTTGTGATTCAAGGTTTAAAATTTATCCACAACTATGGCTAGCATTTTCACTTAGGTTATGCCTTGACTGGATTCTACATTTACGTGATCTATAAATCAAAGAAGAATTCATAGAATATTTTAAACATTGTATATATTATGGCAATTAAAACAATGTATCAAATTTGTTGAAGGAGAAAACTGATACTTAGAGGAAAATGTACATATTTAAGTCTATATATTTAAAATGAAAGACATAAAATTTATACACTAAATATCCATTTCAGGGAATTAGAATAAACTCAAATTGAGGGACATGTGAGGTCCAGGGAAAGATTGTAGATGAATGAAGAGAGGAAGAGCAGAAGATTGTACCTGTACTACTCAACATGTATTCATATAAATGTGTGTGTGTGTTTCTGTGTGTGAAAATGGAGGGGATGAGTGGGGAAGAAATGGGGAAAATTATAAAAGGGATAACATTGATCAAGATGCATTGTACTCATAAATGTCCATGTTTAATTGAAACCCCTTTGTACAATTGCTTAAAGATAATTTAAAATATTGGGGAGAAAATAATGAGAAAAGAAGAAATCACTGAAAAAAATAAAGTATATGTTTCAGTAGTACTAGGATTGCTCAAGCCTACAATCCTAGCTACACAAGAGGCCGAAATTAGAGTATCATGATTTGAATTCTGCCCAAGCAGTAAGGTTCATAGGACTCTTAGCACCAATTAATTTCCAAAAAGCCAGAAGTAGAGCTGTAGCTCAAATGGTAGAGTGCTTGACTTGAGGACAAATGCTTGGGTATACTGCCCAGTCCTTGAATTCAAGCTCTAGAACTGTCACACAAAAAAGTGAACAAATACATAATAATTTTGTTTGTACATATGCAGTTAGTGTTTTATAATCTCTGAAAAACAACTATCTTAGACAAGTAGGACAGGCTCATTTCTTTTCTTTCAGATTGCATTTCATACAAAATGTCTGTCAAACAGAATTATTTAGGCATTTCAGGTAGGATGAGAGGATGGTAGCAGAGAAGTAGAATGCAATGGTGTAGACAGTTTGACATCTACATTATGGAGTATTAAATTATGGAAGGAACCATCAATACTTTAAAAATCTTTACATGGGCACAATGGCAGAGTCAGCACTTATATACCTACCACAGAGAGTATACCAGTAGCTGGACTGTAACACCGGTGGCCACATGAGATGAAACTGCATATTTTCCATGATTCTGCAAATCTATTTTACTCTCAAGTGATGGCTATATTATATAAGAAACATATTACCATTTATAGACATATAAGCATAATTCATATACAATTCCTTCCCAATGGTGAATTTTGAAAAAAAATCACAAGAAAAGTTATGGGTATCTTGTGTACACCATAATTTTCCTTTCCACACTCAGCAGTCTATCAAAGGGCCAAAGCAAAATCAGCTGCTGAATCAATTGAGAACTATATGACCCAAATTCAATTTGTGATTTTATTGTCTTCTCTGTTACATTATTATTTCATGAATTAAGGAAATAAAAGATATAGTAATTTTAAAATCTATTTAAAGCCAGTTCTCAATAGATTTTTAATAGTTTTTTTTCAAAATCTCTCATATAAATATATTCAGATTGACTGCAAAACCAGAAGAATGATAGATCTAAATATTTAAATGTATACTAAAATTATAAGCATTGTTTATTAAGGAAAATTTATATGTATTTTTCTTAATGATGAGGTAATGGGTTCAGTATATTTACTTTAGAAACAACTGCCAACCTGCACCACAATTTCTTTTATAGTGGGCTTTTCTTTTTAAAAGAAATGAAAATTTACTTAAGAAACACTGCACACTGATAATGAGCAATAAATTTTAGGCAATTTAATCTGAAGGACCAATTTCAGATTTAATCAGCACTAGTGAGAATCAAATTAAGCATGTTGTGAGATTTCACTGTTTGTGAAGAAGTAAGAGTGAATCCCTGGCAGCCTATACTTAGGAAGACAGCTTGTGATATCAGAAAATATAGCCCTGGATGTTCCTTGAACAGGTAGTGTTTGATGTGGGTGAAAGAAGCTGAAATTGATTTAATGGAAATATCCCATTAGAAAAAAAAAAAGATTGCCACATTGTCAGAGAGACTCTGCTAACATTTTCACTTTCTTTGTTTCAGAGTCTATTCACTCTAGCTGATCAATAGGATAACCAACAAATATCGAATTTAGGCAAGCCCAGGCCCTAGTCACTAAGAGTGATAGCTCAGAGTGTTGGGTTATTTTCCTAATAATTTGAGTCAATTGCAGAAAATTCAAATCCCTACAAGTCCCTACACAGATCACTACTGTATGATCTTAGCACTCTCTTTGTGTGCCCTGGTCTCATGCTTGACTTGTCACTGAATTAGTCAGATTACTTGCTAGAAACTGAATGTGATTTAAAATTATCAGCTTCCCTGACTTGGACTTTAAAGGCCTTTAACTAACTCCACATGTTGCATCTCTCCATAATTCCAATATCTTATTTTTTAAGTTTTGAATAAGCATGCATTTGTAACATAAGGAATTTCATTATGGTATATTCATGCACAATGAACTTGAAAAAAACTCTTTATATTCTGTTTACCTTATATTCTGTTTCTTTCTCTTCTGACCTTTTACAAAAGCATTTGGTGGGTTTCACTGTTTTATTCATACATATATAGACATGTAACATTTTTCAGAGAAACCATACATGGTGCTGTAGCTCAAATGGTAGAGAACTGGCCTTGAGCTGAAGAGCTGAGGGACAGTGCCCAGGCCCAGAGTTCAAGCCCCACGGCCAACCAAACAAAAAAACAAAACAAAACATTTTTCAATTCTCTTTCCCCCTTGGGATCCCTTCCTTTCTTCCCCACCTCACTGATTGCCTCTTAGACAGTCCCTACTTTACATTCATGTCCCATTACTTTCTTCTTTATCATCATCATCATCATCATCATCATCATCATCATCATCATCATCATCATCATCATCATCATCATCATGTTAGGTGTCTATTCCACAAATGAGTGAGAACATGTGATGCTTGGCTTTTTCACCTTGACTTATCTCATCACGTATTCTCCAGATCTACCTATTTTCTCTGCTTCTGATATCTGCTCAACTGTGAACATAAACCTGAGTACACTGGCTAGATGTCATCTTTACCTCACCATCATCATGAATTGCTATTTTCTTGAATCAATGAAATACACACAGCTATACTGTGATTTAAAAAAAATTCAAAATTGTGGTATCTTGAAAGAGTAAAGGTGTTTTTGTCATTATGCTACAAGTAACTACTATTTTGACATGGGGATTACTTGCCCAATCATAGAGAACCAGGGCTGATTAGGCTCTATCTTGTTATGAGTTTTCATAAACAACATGACAGAAAAAAGAAAACTTAGTCAAAGCATGATCTTATATAAAACCTCTGTCCAGCAAGAAAACTAATATTAGTTTCATTAGCCACAGCCACTCTCACAAACACACCAACTTTAGGTAATTAGAAATTGACATGTGACATGCACCCTAAGAGAAGTAGATTAAGAATAGTTTGGAATAAACTAATGATCACAATGATCTTGATATTTTGTTTATCCAGAGCAGAGCTATATACAAATCTCTGTCTTCACCCTCAAAATGCCCACATTCTCATATCTGAGGCTTTATAACAACAATACAACAATACAACAATTTCACTTCAAAACTATTGTAGATAGATATATAATAGAACTTTATTATATGGATTTTCTTATCAACTG